TTGCCATTCAACCTGCGATCGATCAAGCAATTTGTAGTTGGTATTAAAAAAGCAACATAGCGCGTAACCGAAAAATGTGACGATTTGCTACAAAATTTCTCCCATACGTCGATAAAGAAGTTTCACTTCAAAAATACAAAGTATAAATATTAACTCACTCAGCATCGTTTCTTACGCAGGCATCTAGCTCCAAGATATGTTTGCCAATAAACCATACCAAATTACTAAAGTATGGTGCTGCAGTTCTATAAAAAAATATTTGAAGCACAGTTTGAAAAGGAAAATCAAATATTCACCAGTATACTTAATGATAAATAACTTTGGCAGCTAAAATAAGGTTTTTTTTAAATCTCGTAATTTTCAAACGTTCGTCACATGCAAGATGTGACAAGTGCAGTAAAGAATGAAACATACCTATCTCTTATAAACCGCAACATACTGGCATCTTGAACTCGGTAAACATTCAATGTAAGGGTACGGACGGCTATGCGAACCATAGATTCAGGGTGGTTGAAGAATTTTATTGCTTCTGTATACAGTGGAAAGTCTTTAGTGTGCTGAAAATAAATGAAATACCAAATTTTACAATACATTTTTTTAGAAGCAATGTTAATATAGATTTAACTCTTACACATAGGGGACACCTTGGCCCTTATAATTAGAACAAAATATTTTCTTCACATAGTTACTGGCATAAAATATTAAAAAAAAACATTTGACATTTTAAAGTATATAACAATAATATGCTCCAAAATTCTCAAAATTCTCCAAACCAAGAACAAGACCTGGCTGTATGGACTAAAGTCCCTTTCCTTTCCCATTAGAGATAAATTAATATCATCATCATAACAATAATATGCTATTTTTTAAGTCTGGCAACATTTTTACAAAACTGCTGTTTGTTTACTTCATTTAGAGTTTTTTAAGGCAATAATTAGCCTTTTTTCTGTATACCAATCCATCTAACGAAAGGTCCCTAATGTGTACCCAAACTATTCATAATTTATAGTTTATTATCTATCTCAGGTTTTATTATTTGTACAGATAAATGTATTCCACACTAAACATTAAGCCATCTGTGATGTATGGAATCCATTTTTCAATTAGTGACCCAGTTGACTATGTCCAAAGTTTATCATAAAATATATAGTTAATTAATTGTTAATAAATAACTATTTATCCTATAATATGCAAACATAAAAGAATGATACTTACCTCATTGTAAAAAAAGTGAATTGTGTGATTATTTAGTTTCAAACTGAGTGTTTTTAAAAATGAAATGTAATATGCCATAACTTCTTCATCGGAAACATCAAATTTATGTACAATTATTGAGTTGACATGGTTATTGCTCAATAAATAATCTGAAAAAAGAGTTATCTTTTTAAATCTTGGAATGGGTAATTCATTCAATTCAATCAATGTTTAACAAGGTAAAGAATGTGTTACATGTGCTTTGGTTACATCTGATTAAATTTGTTCATTACATACTTAATCACCAGAATTGTTGTCAGTTAGAGATTTTACATGATTTTTTTGTTTACTAATGTTTTTTTAAGTTTAAATCAACAAATGAACAATAATCAAATGAGTACTGAAATTTATACATTTTTGCTAATGTGGAGATGCTAAATCTAAAGTAGTCTTTTTATAAACATGGTTTCTAGATATGGCTATTGTATTAAATAACAAAAACATTATGCATCATCTACTACAAATATAGTATATTTAATATTTAATTGATAGCATAAGGTTTCTAATTACTACATAACCTTACTTGGGATTACCAGTTATAGTGATTCTATTATCATAATGTTACACTTTGATTTGTTTCATTGCATAATAGGAAGTACAAAATGTTACATTGGAGTTTATTTCCCCCCCCCCCCGGCGCGTTTACTATTATGTACAGAAAAACACAATAGTAAAACGTTTCGTGACCACTAACGTGACTCTTTATACCTTAAATTTACCATTATGTGCTGTAAGGTACTGGAAAGTCAAAAATAATATTAACAATAACGCGTAATTCAATCACCACCCCGCATCGTAACGTTTAACAAAAATTGAGGGGGGGCCTCCCAAAATTCGTTACGTAATACTTGAACGCTCCCATATCACATGCATTTAAATTGTAAATTACTATAACACCACAGTAGGACTCATATTTTAGAGGAGTAAGAAGATTATTCTTCATCTTATTAGGTGTCTACATATTTTAAAGCAAACCAATTGAAACAAAAAGATTTCCTGGTTATATGGACTTTGTGACTAGGACACAGAGTATACAGTACTGGAAGTAGTAGGAGACAGTAGGCTGTGTTATAATATAAATAACATAATATAATAACACTAAGTTCTCAACTTACATAGTGATGTTTCATTCCTTATATTTTCAAACAAAATATTAAGTGTCTGTAGTAATTGTACACATACATACGAAGATCCTCCACATTTTTGCCTCATTATCCTAAGAAAATATGATAACATATTTTTTTCTAGAAAAAAGCTGTAAATAAAAGAAAGTTGATAAAGTTTATTTTATTAATAGTTTGTTGGTAACCAAGGCCAACTAGATAGTTTTCTTTATATATCATTTACATAATTTGTTTTCCTCCAACTGTACAAAATTGTTTTATTATACTCACTCAAACACTGAACTGTCGTTTTGATCTCCCCATATTAGAATTTCGGCAATACACCTTAAGGATTCCACCAATATGCCACGATTACTTTCAGACACAGTTGTATTCTTACAAAGTATATTATGTAAATATTTGAGCCTTTCCAATGAATGAGGGTTCTTGGGGCGACCCCATCCACCCCCAAACCAGCTTCTACTTCGAAACATCACACCACAAAACTAAGACGAAATATTTGTGTATTTTCTGAAACCACTACTTATAAACTTAGAATGTGTGTTTTATGACACAGAAAGTATCCATTTCAACATTTACAGAGACAGTTAATTTATTTTTGAAATTCAAAAGCATTGCAAAATGATAATTATTTATTTTTACACTGCAAAAACTTGTTTCTTTATTTTATTCAACATGCACTTGAATCGTGCTGTCAATGATATGTTTGTAATATGACATTGACATATGACAGTTATAATTACTTTTCTGTCGAATGTCAGCTGTTTAAAACTGGAACAAAAAGAAACTGCGCTAAAACAGCCAACGAAGGGATACGTTGATCCTTTATTTTCTAAAACGTAAAAATTAAATATTTTAACTATGCTGCCAGTAGTGAAGTATTTGAAAGTTTTATTTGTGTAATACATTAAATCATGCATTTAAAATCATTCATTATTATCTGTATTTTATTAATTACATAATTGTCCGTTTGGTGGCGCTATAGATACAGCTTAGTTAGACTAAAGTCCCGATTTTTATCACTTGGCCTAAATTGACTTCGTACGGGTCTGCTGAATACAAATAAGAATCTATGTGATGAATTTTGATATTTGTCATACGGGAGTTTCCGATAAGACTCAGATCTGAATCTGCCTCCAACCCAAATCTTTTTTTATAATATAAGACTCCTGAATATATTATATTCAGTAGTCAAACCTAGCTAATTTTATTAGGTATTTAGTAATAAAATTTATTACATTTTTAGATAGGTATTCTAGTTAATATATTGTTAAAAATACATTTTTCTAAAGTAATTATTTTAAAAGTGTTATCTATTTCTTTTATAAAAATATTAATCATCTCCTGGCCATGCCAGTCTTCAGACCACACCGCCTTGTTTTTCATATAGTTCTATAAGAAAACTCCAAATATACCTACTGTATAATTTAATAATTAAACACATATTATATCGAAATACTTTATTCAATAATATCATAAATAATTTTTCCTTATAATAATATCCTTAATTATTAATAATTAAAACTAAATCACTAATTCATTTTTATTCTCGACTACCTATTTGTTACATTGTATGTGTGTATTTATTTAACAAATTTCTTAAACACCAATAGATTTTACTCTCGTTGCTACGTATAAAAATAGACCATAGATATACATACCTAAAGATACAATACAATTAATCTATTTAAGAATCTGTGGACGGATATTTTTTTATTTGAGCATTTATTTGTACCTAACTTATAATGATAAAATAAATAAAGTACGTTATTAAAATCATAACAATACTACCTATAATCTAAATTAACAATTAAAAGAACTTATATAAAATTTTATGACTCCACTTAAAGTACCTAAATGAATTAACATTGTTCGTTACTTGTAATTTTGAAGAGACTTTAACTTGGACTAATAAGTCTAAAAAGTAAAAATATATGTGAGGGTATAAAAGATTAATTACATCTATACAATCTCAATTATCACAAACAGAAACTGCAAAGGTCAAACATCATAATAATCGGTACATTTTTGTTTAAAATGTTAAGTGTTAAAGTTTAGATTAGATTTAGGTTCTACTTTCGTGGATAAAATCGCAAATAAAATGTTTGTCGTTGAAACTATTTATATTTTATTATGTTTCTATAGATAATTTATTGTACTACTTATTTATCAATACTAATCTACGAGAACAAATTTATGCGTTATTTGTGACAAAATTTAACTTCAGAGAATTTTAAATAATGAAATCATTCGTTTATATTAAACAACTTTTCCAAATACGAATTTGGTTGTCGGTTTTGGACATTACCACTTTATTGATTGAATTTTAATTTTAATTGTTGTGAATAGTAATGGCGCCTTTGTAGATTTACTTTAAGGAGTATTTTGCACGGCTACTTAAATTATATTTGCATTAAACTCCGACGGTCACCACACCAGAACGTTCCCATTTCATACACGCAATTTGACAGTAAAGTCATAGATAAGTCTTATTCATGAATTATGCTTTAACCTTGCCATAAATAACATCTTCCAATTAGGTATACATCATTAGTGCACATAAAATTGAAACGGACATGGGCTCGATACGAGCCATTAAGCTTCACGTAACAAACACTAAATCTAAGGATAGAAATTCTGCAGAGCATCTGAATAGATAGAGTTATATGTGTCTCGTAGCACGTAGACACTATCACTTGGTTTTCCATTGAATACATACGACCCCTTCATGTTCGTGATCTTAGAGTTAGTTGGTTTAGGCTTTGAATAAGAGGGATTATAGTTCGGACGTGAGGGTTGAGGCATCATTGGCTGTCCGAAACCATAAGGATCCATTGGCATCTGTGGCATTTGAGGAAATTGAGGTGCGCCACCCCATTGATAAACGCCGGTTGGTTTTCCGTTAGAAACAAAATCTAAAGGCAGATTGATGAAAGGATCTGGATTTTGCATTGGTTGTGGCATCATTGGCGGCATTGGTGGTCCAATACTGGGTGGCTGGGATACATATCCTAATCCTGGAACGAACATATACGGGGTAGGAGGGAGTCTAATATAGAAAATGGGAGAGTTATCATATTGCAGTGAGTTTATGTTATCATTCGCGAAGGTTTCTCCGTTTCCGTTCTTCTTCTTATTCTGCTGTCGGCGTCTTGAGGGAATTGTGCGGGATAAGTCGTCATCATCGAAGTTGTCGTCATTGACGGAGAAGGTTACGTCATCATCATCATCTTCGCTGTAATCTAGACCTGATGATAAGTAAGATGGGAAGTAGCCAAATAGGTTTAATGCTTTGTTGCGTCTGTTTGTGGGTGAAGATTCTGTGGTGGTGGTAGTTTCCTTGAATTTCTCTTGTAACTTGCTTTGCCGACTCGTGGTAGATTCTTCTGGTAGTTTGGCATCCCGTGATCTTCTTGATGGCGCACTGTGCGTGTGGAGAATCAGGCTGACGAGCACCAACTTGACCAACAATCCGGAACAGCTCATGGTGGTAGCTCTGAAACGACAAAATAAATACTTTAAAACATATTCAATTTATAACAACATATAAAAAATCTAAATATCATTTATTCGCTTTGAATCAGTCATTTAAAAAGAAATTTTCTAAATTTACATTTATTGCCCGAAATCAAGGGCGTAGAATGGACGAGAAGAACTAACAATGAACATTCCGCCACTCTATTTAATCGCTAAGTATTCTGCATAGTGTTTGTTGCCACCATTATGTACACTATGGTCTATGATTCACATACTAAATCGATTATTTTATAATAATAAAATATACACTAACATAAAACGATGATCTGCCGAAGATCAAGGCTATATCCCTTCATTAGCTTCTACTTTGATTTTACATACTAAGGAGGTTTAAGTACTGACACAATTTGATTTCAATCGATCCCTAAAACATACTATGATCCGACTCTTATTGATAACTGCAACTAATTAGGCATATATTTAATAGCGCAACGATCACACAAACCATCAACAAATGTCTAGTATAGAGTGCGATAAATTGTCAGACAGCCTGTGGGAGGAGATATCAACTCCATAATTCTCCAGGTGACCACTGTTAGACATAATAAACCGGTATTGTAATTGACGTATTACTCAGTAATTAGGTACGTTCATGAAGAAATGAGGAAGTCTGTTCACTCGTAACATAATTGAAATGTGTTTTTAAGTAAATAATCCAATTTTTGTATCAAAAATAAATTGCGCTCGTTCTCATTCTTATAAATATATTAAACTAACCGCTATGCCGTTTTATGGGAACCTCTAATTTTAAAACTGTTTCGAGTTGTAACTGGAGGGGTCAAGATAACTGGTCAGAACCCTTTTTGCGTGCAAGGAACAATGGTACGAGCCAGGCACTTTACTAATATTTATACACATTTAAAAAACTGGTGCGAGTGAAATCACTATTCCGTAAATTTAACACAGAATAAAGTATATATGTACATAATAACCGACGACAAAACCCGAAGAAGGAACTTTAGAATTCTGCGTAACGAAAAATCCTATCTATCTATTTCCGCTATTTAAGTATATCATAATTTCGTGATGTTCAGGCTTCAGCTCCTTACCATAGTCTGGATTCAATCGACAAGCATAAATTTTAATAAACTACAAACAAAAGAACATAGTCGCAACTGCTATATTTATAATGCCAAGTAACTGAGTTAGTGTTTACAGGCTCGTTTACACTTGATTGATTGATTCACTTATATAAAAAGGTAAATTATCACTTTACATTGTGGTTGTGTAAATTGCTAATTTACTAGGGTATCTGTCTTGTGTCACTCAGATTGATATGTATCTAAAGAAATATGCAAAAATATGCAAACGAAACACTTTCCATTACACGAAGAGTGATTAATAATGACGTGTTAACTGAATAAACGTAAGAGGTAGCTCCTGTACTACTAATTAACAAATCCTTTCCTTCTAACGGATATACGTAATATATATACGAGTGTATACAATATTATATATAATTATTTGTAAATATGTAAACGAGGGAAGAGAATAACAAAAACTTCTGCACCGATTTTTTTTATGTTACAGAAGGCAAACGAGCAGGAGACTCGGGAGACCTGATGTTAAGTGATACCGCCCATGAACAGTCACACTGAAGGCTTGCAAGCGCGCTGCCGGCTTTTTAAGAATTGGTACTCTTGGGCTCTTTTCTTGAGGGAATTGGTTCGGAAATACTTCAGTGGGCAGCTGGTTCCACATAATGGTGGATTTCAAACATTATTTCACTATAAGTCCTGCACTATCCCGGCGTTATTTTCATAGCTTTAAGTATATATGAGCCTTGGACTGGTTGGTTTAATCTTAAGTTTAATTAACTGTAGAAATTAACAAATTAATCTTATCATTATCATAAATTAATAAATTATAACACGACAACAAAATATTTTTGAAATTCGCGTGAAATATAGGTTAAATAAAAATAAGACAATTCACAACATTATATCAAATTCAGTTTTCATATTACCTTTTTTACCCAGCTAGAAAGCAAAACTGTATTGTTTTATCTTAAGCCCCTAAAACATATTATATGAATACTAGCTGATCCGGCAAACGTCATTTTGCCATGTATTTTATTTATAATAAAAAATAGGGGTTGATCGTAGAGGGGTGAAAATTAGGGGTTGTATGTATTTTTTAATGCTGTATCATAAAAAAATTAAAAATAAGTAATTTATCTAAAAATTAAAAAAAATAATTTAGGGGTAATTTAGGGGACTACCCTTAACATTTAGGGGTATGAAAAATAGATGTTGTCCGATTCTCAGACATACCCAATATGCACACAAAATTTCATGAGAATCGGTCAAGCCGTTTCGGAGGAGTATGGCAACGAAAACTGTGACACGAGAATTTTATATATTAGATTTTAGGTAAATACATATATTCCCTAGAGTTTTGCATATTGTTTGCTCCTGGGCATGTAGTTATGGAATCAATCTTTCTTATCTCTTACTTGCAAATGGGTGTCATGGCAGCCTAATGGGGCTTTGAAAAATTGACGAGATGATAAGATGCGTCGCCATTGAGTAATGATTATATGCAATAAAAATTGGCTTGATACTTAAAGTACTTTTTTTAAATATAACAAACTAGATTACTACGGGCTTAGTAATATTTTAAAGAGAATTATTTAAAAAAGGACACTATTGGATGGAAATATATTTTCTAAGTCATTTAAAATTATGTACATGTGCACTGCTACACTACACACTTTTAAACCAAGTGTCTTAAATAACGTCAGTTACACCTATAAACATCAGTTATTTTTACATTGATAGTGCTTTCGTGTCGTTCCCAGCTTGCTTCTACATATTTCACCAATACTATTGAAGTATTGGTAAAATATGTAATACTAATGATGAAGGATGAAATGAAAATATTGCTGATGCCATAATGATGAAATTGCTTTTTTTTTGAAGGACCTAGCTACTAATTAACTAACTAGCAATCACACATGCGAAACAAATACAATTTTCGCGCTCTTCAATCCGAATTGTCGCAAAGATTTATGCTCAAACATAAATTTTCTTGTAATACTAGATTATTATATATTGGTTATAATGACAATCGAGGTCCATAGACATGCGGTCGAATGAGGTAGGTTCTTTATCAAGGACCCAAGGTAGATTAGAAATAGACTATGTGACCTACAGTCGCATACAAAAGTGCTTTATCGGTCAGCTGCCCCGATTTAAAAGGATAAGGTATAATTTAGTACATCCGTCCTATTAATTTATTCAATATGAAAAACAAGACCTTAAAATATCAAGAGAAAACCAGATCGCGATACCTGATAATTTACACTTCCTATTCGGACACCTCAAAGGGTTTGATTGCAAACCTGTTTTATTACTTCATCATTAAATGGGTTATGATTTCATTTAATTAAGTTTCAAAATGTCTGTCAAAGTTATAAGCCAGTGTTTTATATTAACAAAATATACATATATCATTTTTTATAAAGTAAGTTATTTTTGATATAGTGTCAAAGAAGTTGAAGTAGTCTACTGAAATAAAAAGTTGCGCAAGAGTTGCGCGTTCATCTTATTATGAATGCGTATGTAAAAGAATATAACGTGTTGGTCAAATTTATACCATAGGTTGAACTTCATCTCCAATTATATTGAATAGGATGCAATTCATGGAATTTCTGTACTCCATTTTTTACCAGCAAAAAGGTAATATATTCGTCATCATTAAGTTTACATTAAGTTGTAATCAAATTGAAATATAACATGGGTTCAGACAGTTGGAACTATTTCATGAAACGCCCGGTAACAAACCAGTCAATATAATCTTTGCTAATATTATAAAGAGGTTACGTTTGTGAGGTTTTAACGGATCCACTAAGCCAATTTGTAAAATTATTTTACCAATAGAAAGTGGTATTTGTGAGTAACATAGGCTTACCCAAAAAATCAATACTTATTCATGGTAGACGGATTTGCAAAGCAAGTCGGAGAAAAAACGGTCGAACAAAAAAGTTTCTTACGAACACTGCCTTAGATATGAGAGATATATTATCGAGTTCTAGATATAAGTTATCGAGTGTGATAAAGCCTACAAAAAAGTCAGTGACAGCACATGTCCAACTTTTATATTATATAAAAACAAGTCCTTAACTGGATATTTATCGGGGTTTAGATTGATTCATGAGTAAGGAATCGATTTTATTATTAGAATAGCTCTTCCAATAAGGTATTAAGATAACACACAAGTTATTTTAATATATATTTTTTTATTCCGAAATTTTTTATGAAATTCACTACAACAGTGTAACAGTGAAAAAGATACCTAAATGAACTTAACTTAGCTAATACTACTAATATTTTATCGCTCTATACCAGTTACCTTTACTTAAGTCAGTTCACCTTGTTAGTATGTGGGCGTTCACAGAACGATAAAAAGCAAAACTTACTGTACAAAATAAGCTGTGTAAAATGCGCAGTGCAGCCATTAGGCTCTAACGCCTTCGTGAGATGGATTAATCAAATTATTATTTCAACATTTTCATTTCCTTGTATGGTTGTATTTTTTCTACATTAATGATATTGTTATGAAATGTTTAGAGTGTTCGCTAATACATGCCGCTGATGCTAAGACATCAACCATAATCACACAGATTTTTTTTATGCGATGAGAAAATTGTTTATGAATACATATTTATATTTGTTTAATTTATCTATTACACTCATACATTTTAACTAGTTTTGAATTTGATTATTTTCTCATTAAAGTTTTACACTTAATGTCTCTTGCAGTTGTTGAAAGACATGTTGAATTATGTTTTAGCAATGAATCTTTACATTTTACATGTCTTCACAGATTAGAAATACAGTCTTATCTATAATCTTACCAAAAACAATAGAAACAAGACTTCTCGAAGTTTGACAAGAACAATGTACTTACACGATCAGTAAACATGGCCGCGACTGGGCTCAGCTCGA